TGTACTTCTCCCAAACAAAAAATACCGTGACCTGCTGAAATGATTATAGTCCAGTAACACTTACCCCAGCTGTGGTGAAATGTTCCGAAAGGTTAGTCAAAACCCACATAAAAAGGACCATCCTAGCCACACTGGACCCCTTACAGACAGAATTAGTCCACTGATGGTGCTCTTAATGCTGCTATCCATACAGCCCTCACACACTTAGAGGGTAAGGACACATATGTGTCGATTACAGCTCGGCATTCAACACAGTCATACCACACAGACTTTCTGAAAAGCTCCTAACCCTCAGACTGACACCCTTCCTCTGCAACTGGGTGCTGAACTTACTGACAGACAGACCCCAGTCAGTTAGACTTAGAAACTGGACATCAGGCATTATAACCGTGAGGACAGGGATCCGCCAGAGCTATATGCTGCTATACACTCTCTTTCCCTATGGCTGTGGGGCCTCCCAGACCAACATCAGCATCATAAAGTTTGCAGATGGTACCACAGTCATTGCACTGATCACTGGAGGAGAGGAGACTGCTTATAGAAGAGAGGTGGCAGGACTAGTCGCCCAGTGTCAGGAAAATAATTTCTCCTTAAATTCAGACAAGACCAAGGAGATGATTATTGATTCAAGGAGGAGGAGGAAAGAGCAGCACACCCCAATATACAGCTGTGAGACAGAGGCAGGAAGGGTGAAGACCTTTACATTTCTGGGAACCTATATCAATGAGGATCTCACCTGGTCTCATAACATTCGCCAACTGCTAAAGAAATCACAGCAGGGGCTATACTTCTTGAGAACGTTGGGGAAATTTGGTATGTCACGTTATTTGTAGCAATGCACAGAACACTTTAATCTTAATTTCACTTTACTTATTATTGCTGTGTAAAAGGAGATGACAAAGTAAGAATTTTGTGTTTTTCATGTGTATATGACAATAAACTTCTTGAACTCTTGAACTCAAAATACTTTCGTGTTGTATGCTAAATCCAGGAAATGAGTTCAGTTCACCAAAACCCAGCAATATCTCACAGAAACACATGGTCAGCATATGTGTAAAACTGCATAGGTGTCTTCCTATGAAAGGAAGAAGCACCCACATAGGGGCTTACCAACGATCTGTGTAAAGTTTTAGCTTTGAAAAAATTACGTGCCCCATTCACACATTCAGCATCCTGTTCCACAGGGGCACAAACAGGACATTAATTAGAATCAACCATTTTAATGTAAAGAACTGCATGTCTTTAAACTCTTGTCTGCGGTCTTGAATATAACATGAATATCAACAGGCATAACAAAATTGAAATAATTTAGCTTGTATTATGGGTAACACTTTCTATAAATGTCATGTCTATAAGAATGTATAATCACATTCATGACACATTATAATGCATTCATAAAGCAGTACAAAGCATCCTTAATTCTTATATCTACCATTGTAATGCATTATGAATCAGTATGAGAAAAGTGCCTTCAGAAATACAATGATAAAATGTACATGTTTATTGTACATGTTTATGCCATGCATGGATGCCTTATTCTCTTGCATTTAAAATATTCTTCTTTAATTTGTATATCTCAAACCCTGAAGTAATTGTATCATGACTATATCTAATTGACTATTTACATAACAACTTTACTGTCTCTTGAGGATGAGATAAGATTGTTATGTTTCCTGTCAAAGTAATGCGGTAATGCGAGAAAAATGCCAAAACTTCACCCTTGCTAGTTTACTGCTCCATTTGCATCAAAATTAAAAATGCTATTTTCTAAAAAAAAAAAAGTGAGTAGTAGTAGTAGTATTAGTAGAGAGAGCGAGAGAGAGAGAGAGAGAGAGAGAGAGAGAGAGAGAGAGAGAGACCTGTTCTGAAACCTTCTTGGTGGTTTGACACATTTTAGATTAGGTAATTAAAAAATAAAAGTAGAAACTTAGGAAGAGATATTAAGAATGGAAACATGAGAAGACTTGTGAGTGAAGGCAAGGAGTCTTTCCAGTATGTTTGATTTTTTTTTTTACCTGATTTTTATAGTGCAATGTAATGCAGAATCACTTTTCATATCCCAAAAAAAAGAATTACCTTCACAGACAGGAGTTTTAGTGATCATTAAAAATACAAACAAATTGTTTTGTTAGTGTATTTGGGTTTCACAAATGAATACTGTTGTGCTCAAAATCTGATATCATAGAATTGCGTGCATGACAAGAAAACTCCTTTTAGTTTTATCCCTGAGAACATTTTGGAGTTTTTTTTTATTTGGGTCGGAGTAATTGTCATATTTTACTTTATACTTTTGGCAATATAAAATATTGGCAATTCTGGATTAAGAACCATCCAACTAATCTGATCTATTATTTACTGTGACAGCTTCTGCACTGCTTTTAGTTTTAAGAATCCAAATTAAATGAGAATACATGCTAAAACTCCCTGAAAAAAATACATCCATTTTAAAAGCTATGTCTCTTATCTTCATAAATGTTACATATACCCATCATATTATCTAACTGTAGTCTGCAATAAATGTGTTCCCGCAGCTTGAGCATTGCATTAACTCAATGCAGTTGAGCATTGCATTAACTCAATGCAGTTGTTGCTGGTTTGACTCCCAGGGAGACACATAAATCCCTTCCCTCTACTTGAAGTTGTTTTGTATAACTCTGTCAAACAGATGAGTCACATGCACATGTGTAGTCTTGTAAATGTAGGTAATACCCAGCAAAACCTCTGCAAAACAATACACTGTTACATAAAATTAATAAACAGCAAATAGTCCATCTTATGTAGGACATTTCTTGGCATTAATTATTGGTAGCACATGTTCACTATGTTCATACTGTAACTGTGAGAGTATAGCAAACATTTTGTGAGTATAGCAAAAAATGAGAATACAGACTAAAGAAAATGTGACTGATCCATTATGGCCATGAAACATAACAGTGGAAGTGTTTAAGTCATCTTACTTGATTGGCTATTGGCTATTGGATTCTAGGGAGTTAATCTTTTGAAATTAATAAACTTAATTTATGGGGGCCTCTCGCATTCAACTTGGGCTGCTGTGGTTATTCAAAGCAGTGGATGACGTCAACGCTGAAAACATCAGTATTTTAAATGGACGCATAATTTTTTTAAATTATTGTAATAAATTACGTTTTTCATTTAAAAATTGCTTCAACTCATTATAAAAAAAGTTTTAGTTTAACACAGCAACGCTAGAGCTATGCACAAGCTGCCAAGCACCTGAAGAGAAATTTATGGGAGCTATTCTGGATTATGGACTGCCAGAAGAAGCAAAGCTACCTTAAGTGTTGTCTATTTGTGTTGTTTATTACATTACAATTAGTACAGGAAGCTTTAAACATCTTTTGTTCTTATAAAAACATTATTTAAAGCCTTGAAGTTGTATGCCTCTTACCTTAGAATCTCCACTGATAAGTGTTTGAGAAAATGTTTAGGCTACAATCTGGGCTTATTCTGCGTGTATTGATGGTGCTGGCGTAACACCTATGTGTATGTGGTCACGCAGCTTGGTGGGAATAATGTTGCTATCGTAAACTAAAGGTTAAGAATGTAAAACTGACAATAATTAAAAAAAAATAATAATTGTGAACTGAAGTAGAATTGAAAACTATATTTACCAAAAATGGGCTTTAAACTGCAAAAAGTATCACCACCCACCAGTGTCTTTTTACTTTGTTTAACCACAAAATTTCCTCTTTTAAAAAATGTTGTGGTTGCTGAGCTGTCCGTTTCTTGACTTCAGTGCTTCTGGCCTCCATAATTTACCAAAACAGTTGCATGTGGCATGCACCGCTAACCGAATTTAAAAGGCATAAGGATACACCGAATTTATACATATTACTATAACTTTTGGGTGTCACAATACTCCTCTCATTAATATTTTATGCATACTACTAATCTTATCGAATTGTGGGTGTAAATAAGGTACGCATAGTGCTGAAAAACTGGTGTCCATCATCTAAAGCCCTGCAAGGACAAAGAGTTTGTTCTTGTTAAAATAAAATTTACTTAAATGAAACCGTCAGTTGTATTTCCAGGAAGAAAATCATTTAAATTAATTGACGAATCTGAAAAATAGTCGCTAGATTAATTGATAGAAAAATGGCCATTAGTGGCAGCCCTACATTCAACTACATTTTTTTCTGACAATTTTGCAAGGCTGGAAGCACATGGAGCTTAAAAGTAACAGTAGACATTATACTGTATTACCCTTCAACTGGTTAGAACTGTGGTTAACATGTCTCAACATGATCAATAGAAGTCAAGTGGTACAAAGCTAATATATGTGTTTGGATTCAGCACAAGCCTTTCACCATGGAATTCTAAGTCAGTAGCAGTCATGAGTAAATGTGCAAGTATCTTGTTTAGTCAGTATGTGGTGCCTGTATGGGCAAGTTCAACATCATGGGACTTGTTTTATAGGCTCAGAAGCCACTGTGGTCTAATAGCAGGTTAAGTCTTTCTAAAACTGTTAATAATCTGTATAATTATGTTATAATATTTACTTGCCTTTTTTATTATCATTTTTTAAAATACACGTTATTACATAAATAAGGTAAAGGGTGTGTTTCCATATGTGTAAGTACTTTGGGGCATTCTGGCTGAGAGACCAGGGGAAAAAAAATGACCTAATGGTTAGAATTGTGTGATAAAATTAATGTTACCTTTCTAAAAGTATGCTGGAGTGCAACAATTATTTTATGCTTAAAAATGTAAAAACATGTGCATCAGGGCAAAACTATTTGTGCAATACGTGTTCAAGTTAAAATGTAACTGTGCTGCAAATTTAATAAATTAAAGTTTTGGGTAAATGCAGTATACTCCCTTTTAGATATAGAGTCAGTCAGGTGTGTGATTTATAATTTATTATTACCAGCATTCACAGAAGACTTCGTACAAATGAATTAGTTAAGCTGGAAATTTGTAAGTATTAAGTTGATACAACCAACGTGTAATGCATTACACACAAAAAAAACACAAGAGAATTGAAATAAAATTGGCATACAATTTCATTAGTAACTCATTTTAAATGTAGGCACTTTAATATGAAAGATATAAAAACCTAAAATAAAAAAGAATAAGAAATGACAAGCAGTAAAAATGCATGGATTGTAAAATTTATAGACATCCATCTGTTCATAATTCATAACTGCATATAGCAAAAGCTTTAGAGATCAGATCCCCTACTGAAATCAGGCTACAGCAAACTGCAGTTAGGATAAAGGCAACAATAAAGCAAGCCAGAGTACACATGGACATGCTTAAAATCTCCCCTTTAGATGTGTACAAAATGGTCTTAGAAAAAAAAAAAATCACCAGTACTTTATTAGCATAGTAGCCCTTCAGGTCTTCAGTTAATGAGTGGTGGTTAGTTTACTATTAAAGTAACACGGCAATTTGAATGAAGCACAGCAAGCAAACTGTGCTAGATAGGCAAGTGCATTTTCACACAAATGTTTCTATTTCTTTGGGAGACATTAAAGTTCAATGAAGTTTTTTTTCCCTAACCAGTTTCAATGAACGTACCACATTAAGGGATAATACCAGGATAGAGTTATTTGAGTTATTGTGATGATGGGCAGAAGGTAAGGCACAAGGGCGCCTCACGCCATTTCCTTGGAGTTTATGTTGGTCAGGTTCATACGCTCTGCTTCGTTCTGTGCCTTCTCTCGGGCCTCTACCTCTACATGGAAGCCCACCATGAACTGATAAACCAGAACGCCAAATACTGTCCCCAGGAAAGGTGCAAATATTGGTACAAGGAACCAGTAAGACTGAGCCCTATAAAGCAAGAAGAAAACCAAGGTTTACTGTCTTTGGCTCAAAAAAATGTGTGTCTGCAGCCACAAGATTTCAGGGATATATATTAGCAAACCAGCACAAATTTAGTAAAAAAGCATTTGAAAACTTCAGCAAATATTATTAGTACTGCTCAAAAATTATAGTTTTCTATTCATGCAAATTACTATTTTCCATAAGGTTTTTTATTCATATATGAAATTACTCACGTAAAGACCTCTGCGCCCCAGCCAGCCATTGCAGTGAAGAGACGAGGACCTAGGTCTCTGGCAGGATTGACGGCATACCCAGAGTTGAAGCCCATGGACAAGCCAATGACAAGCACTACAAAGCCCACTGTGAAGGCTTCTAGCCCATGAGGAATAGGGTTGTTGTATGGATCCACGATGGCCAGAATACACACAATGAGGGCAGCAGTTCCAATCATCTATGGAACAAGAAACATCACAAGTGTTGTCACTCAGTAAATGTGCTTGCATTCGGCATATTTTGTAATATGTGCCATATTTCAATTAATTGGAAATGCTCAAAGTTAATGCTAATAGTGTTACAGTGACATGACAATAATATTAGCTTCAACAGAGAGAAGAGGTGGGTCTGCATACTGTAGGCCCAGACTTGGAGTCTTGGGGTCCACTTAGGACTAACCTGGTCAAAGAAGCCGTTGATCATCGTCAGGTGTGTGGAGGGGTATGTAGCAAAGATTCCTGCGGTGGCATTGTCTCCTAAAACCCTGAGAGCACCTGGGTTAAATTCCCACAATGCATCTGGAAAGAATACATTTAAAAATGAGGAACTGGGAACTGACACAACTGACACTTCCCCAATAAAAACACAGCCTAGCTTTGCCACAAACTGAATACATATGTTAAACATTGTTACACATACAGTAAACATTGCGCTTACACTTATTTTTGCTCTTTATGAATAATCACTTACCATGGTACATTCCATAAACTATTCCTGAACCCAGGAAGGCACCTAAAGTCTGAAATAAGAAATATATTGGAAACTTCCTCCAAGGTTCTCTCCCAAGTATGCATAAGGCAAATGTCACAGCAGGGTTTAAATGTCCTCCTGTGGAAGAAAGGTATCAACAGATAACAGACAGAAAACCTGAAAATTATCCATTGCAAGATGATTTTCCTTCTTCATTCAGGTTATAGTTATAATTTAAACCAGGGAAAAGTTCATTTCTATAGATGTACAGAAAACTAAACCTCAGATTGTCTATCATTATATGTATTGCATTTCAACAGTTATAGCAAGACAGACATTTTTGCTTCTATGACTTGCTAGAATCTAATAGTGATCACTCGATAAAAGTATTATGATTAGCCTCTCACCTGAAACCTGTCCACATACCAAGATCCCAAGAGTAGCAGCAAAGCCGAAGGCGAAGTTGACGGTAAGGAACAGCCCATGGGATCCATTGCTGAGCACCAGCTGGGCCACTGAGCCACAACCAAACATCTACCAACACAGAAGTATTTGTGAGTATTATCATCTTTACTCAGAGAAACCCAAATACACTCACCCTACAATTAGTTTGTATTTTTAATTATCACTAGAACTCCTGCTGCAAAGGTAATTTCTTGGTCTAGATAAGTTACTTTTATAGTGTGCCAGTTTGAGTATTAGATTATATATTTGAATAAAACTGATGCTTTGTACATTTTTTGAGAGATGATAGAGATAGAGAGATAGATGCCCCTCTAAAGTATTCTTAAACAATGCCAGATGACAAGGATTTCCAGTAGTGTAACACGAATTGTGATATTCAGTGGTGTCAGCCAAAACCACCTCTTTCACAACCATCAATACTGCACAAATTGTGAAAGCAGAAAATAAATAAAAATTCAGAATGTCTGATTTCAATACCAGCAGGAGAAAATTAGAAAATATACTGAATTAAGTGTACAAAAACGTTTTGGAAAGTTTAAAATTCACATGTGTTTTTTGTTCCGGGGATATATAATTAGAGGTCGTAATGGTGCATATTTGTGGAATTTGTAAATCAGAGACACATTGTAGAAAAACAGGATTGTGATTAAAACTTTTATGTAAAACAGCAGTTCTCAGAATCTGGCCTTCTAAAACTATGACATACTAAGGATCAATTTTCATAAGGACTATCATTACACGGCAATGTAAAAGTGAGGCGCAGGGCACTGAACACGAGGAATTATATGTCTTAGCAATTTATTTTTGTAAATTTCCACAATTGAAGAAGTTTGGAGTTCTCTCACCTTTTCCATTCACGTTGTAATTAAAAGTAACTTAAAAATGCCAACAAAATGTCTATGAAAGTTCCCACCCAGAAAGTGGTGATCTCAATCCTGTTATCAAAAGACCCAACCCATTAATGCAATATAGTGTTATGTTGATTTCACCAAGGTGATAGCAGCAACACTTAAAAATATATTCTAAGATTAAGTCAAGTCTAAGATTTTCCTGCTCAGGGACACAGCCAAACCTTGTACAATGCGGTAGCCTCAGTATATTTTGCTGACCACAGGGTCTCCCTCAGTACATTTTGCCAATCGTGAGTATTATTCATTAATCATCTCCCAATCACGCCACAATTGACTGATTAATGTGTTGGGAAGCTCTGGTTAAATGTGACATATTTCATTTTTATGTTTTAGTGAAGGGTGGCAACTGGAGTAGCCACAAACTTACTGTGAGGAACATGGCCAACCCTGGCTACCCCTTAGATCCACTCCTGTTCCTGCTATATTTCCTGAAACAATGTTGAATTGAAGTTTCATTAGTAGCCCATGGCCCTGTATCAGACTGGGAGTTGAAACATGGATGAATGAGTTTTAGTTTCACTGTTGGCAATGGATTAACTTGGAAAGCCATCTTCTTTATGGTACCTTGCATACCAGAGGTCTTAAGTGTTCTTAAAAGTGTTTTAATCCAATGTTTGAGGACCATAATAAAACTAGAAACCAAATACTTCTTGTCAAAGTTACCGTCATTAAATAAATATCTATCTGTTTTCCAACTGTTAATCCAGTACAGCGTCATTCAGCACCTGCGGGGGATCTCCCTAGATGGGATGGCAGTACATCACTCAGCAAACACATGCACGCATTAACACAAATCACTCTATGGGCAAGTCATAGTGGCCAATTCTCAATTCAATTCAATTTTATTTGTATGGTGCTTTTCACAAAATTACATTGTCTCAAAGTGCTTTACAGCATCCCTGCCCAAAGCCCCCAGTGAGCAAGCCAGAGGTGACAGTGGAAAGGAAAAACTCCATAGAAGGAAGAGACCTTAGGAGGAACCAGACTCAGATGGGGAGTTCATCCTCCTGGGACTGGCAGGGAAAGTCAATTGATCAAGATGGCAAAGTCCCAATCTTAACATTTGAGTCACAAAGTCGGGGGCAGGGAGGTGATGATAGAGCAGGGGTGGGATTTCAAATCCAACTTTGCAGGTGAGCTAACGTGCTGGTTCCGGCAAATACTTATATACTGGAATTTACTGACTTATTGTCTCACCAACCATTTTAAAGAAAATTATGGTTAATTTTGGATTGCATCTGTAAGTTCATTGTTAGTATCTGTCTAGTGAAAATAGGAACGTACCCTATGACTTACTGGTATTCTTAAAGTATTTCTTTACCCAAGTAACTATTTGCAGGGTGCTCAAAAAGAAATGTAAGTTGGACTAACTCATTCATGAGTAGCTATTCAGCAAGTAAGAGACAGAACCAATGAAAATGTAAACTTGGAACATACAGTGGGATGGGATTGGAATTATTGACCTTGAAGATATGTAGTGGCAACTGTTCGCACCCTCTTTCACTTTAAAATTGAAGCAGATGTAATTTCGCAGTGGGCGTAGTCTTTGAAAAGAACCTTTTCATATGTGCGTTTATCAGCTATGTCAATCATTTCCTTTTTGTCACAATAATACTGCCTTTCATGTGCCCCTCTCTAGACAGATACTAGCGTGAGGCAACGATAGGGGATAGTCACTCCCTTTCAATATTAAAAGTCAAATCAGTTAGTGGAGACGATTGATGTGAGGCAGACAAGTTGAAGCCATGCACATTTTTAATACCCTGAGGCCACTGGTAGTTGCGAAATATATTTCAGGATTAATTTAACTCAGGTTTTGCCATATTTATTTTCAAGACAAAAAACAAGATGTTTATCAGCAGTAGCAAGTACTGGCAAGCAAATCTCAGCTTTTGTGTATTTTCATGGCTGTCATGTCTAGTCAGTTTCCTGTACATCTCTGAGGGCGTAGGGTACAGAAATTCCCGGACAGTAATATGTGCGCGTACGTTTGAATGTGATGGGTGGGGGTTATTAAATTATATGGTATCAGGAAACTGAACTTGGCAAATTGTGCGTTTTAAATTGCTTATAACTAACCCTACTTCTGCATCAGTTTTGCTTTTGTACAGAGCAGAGGAGGTGCTCAGAACTGATTTGTATTGCTCCTGAGCCTTGCAGGGACACAGGCGGTGTTATGCAAAATACTCGTCACTGTGTTCATATTTCCTGAATTCTGGCTTTTAATTGACAACATGCAGCAATCCAAGGGCAAACTTTTAAAATATTTTTACTACGTTTTAAACTGTGGAAGAACTAAATATACAACTGCCTGTTCATCTTCTTTTGTTAACCAGCAAAAGCCTTGAGGTCACACTCACAAGATTTTTTCTAATAAAATGTACATTTACATTAACATTCACACTTATATATACAGCACATGCTTTTGTCCGAAGTGACATACAAGTCAGGCAAATGCATAGTTACATTCAAAAATAAAATACTAGCTGCAATGCTTTAAACATACGCTATTGTGCAAAAGTCTTAGGCAGTTAAAGAAAATGATGATGTTTAAATGATCTTCATGTTGGTATAAAACTATATATTGTCTGTCAAAATGAGTTAGTTTAGCCCAGCGGTGGCCAATCTTATCCGCAAAGGGCCGGCGTGTACGCAGGTTTTGGGGTAACCTTTAGGTCAGCTGTTAAAACCCAGGTGTAAGGACTCTTCAGCCAATCAGTCCTCTAATTAGCAATCTAATTAGGGAGCTGCAGCGAAAACCCGCACACACAGCGGATAAGATTGGCCACCCCTGGCTTAGCCATTTCAAAATCTCTCCTATAGTCACCCCAGTATTTGCAGCAACCGTCCATAATACCTGTGTATTCTTTTGACTCAACCACTAACATACCTTGTTTGACTAATCAAATCTTCATTGTTTTAACTGATTAACTTGATGAACAAATGGGTTTAATTAAAGTGGTAGTGAAATTTAACAAATACATGGAATGGCTGAGGTGCCCCTGAGGGGAGGTTTAGGAACAGAAGCGGTCATCTTCTAGCCATCCAACAGAACATCAGTAACTTGGAACAGAAGACATTCTTCTTAGTTTTTTGTGTTACTCGTAAGTTTTAATGTTAAATTATGTTCTTGTCTGACAGAGTATACTTACTACCTGGATAAGTACCTTTAACAATTTTCTTTCAATATCCACATAATTCCATATTAGATTCGTCATGAATTGTTATTCAGCCTGTTCTATCTTTTTTAACTTTGAGCACCTGCCCCTTTAAACGTCTCTGCACAGCCCTGATAAGGACTATCATTACACGGCAATGTAAAAGTGAGGCGCAGGGCACTGAACACAAGGAATTATATGTCTTAGCAATTT